GTTTTTGATATCCTTTAACGCACTTGTCCTCGTCGTGACCCGACGCGCTCATCTATTTCAACAAAATGTCAATTTATTTCCACGCAGCTGTCATTTATTTAGTAACTATGATTTGTCGTTTTTTTAATTATTTTATTTTATTTATTGATCACTATAGTTTAATGTTTAGAATGTCAAAATATGTTCTCTTTTTATTTTAATTTTGAAAGTTTTTTTTGTTTTACTCAGACGATCGATGAAATAAAACAGTGTAGTGACGTGCCGACTAACTTGCTAAATAACGAGACAATTCAGACGTCAAACTCGATTTTGTCCAGCGACAGTGTACAAACATGCGCCGGTGACGATCCCCGGGGAGGATCATGGCAACCCACTACACCAGGATAGACATATTTAGCATCTAACTCAACCCCATGCAACAAACTTGATACTACGTGTTCATTATTTTCCATTCTTCCTCGACGAACAAGTACATAAGTGACAATTTAGTCAAAGATGAGAAAACAGCACAAGAAATTTGCCTTAGTTACACGTATCGGCAATGCAAGCTGCCCAGTGACTTCCCCTTTTGATGTCACAAGAGGAATTTCTGTATGCAAATGAGATGCTAATGAGGAGCCTCGTTTTAAAATACACAAAAATAAAGTTGCCGCAGACTGCGTTTAAAACACATTTTTTCACTTAAAACAAATAATTTATGCTTAGAAACATAAAAATTAATAATATTTATGTATCAATGGATAATTTTAGGCCTGAAAATAGCGAAAATATAATGTAGTATATATAATATCTATTTCTAAAGCTATTTTCTACTTCTTCATGAAAACCGCTAGCCCGAATGCTTTGATACTTGGTATGTAGGTACCTCAGGTAGACCTCTCTCAGATTTGTTCATTTTGTGATGATATCTTTAATTCTCTAATTTTAGAGCAATTGGACCTGCGTTTTTTAACAAGAAGTCGAAAATATCACTTTTTACCAAAAATGCCAAAAATATTCATGAAAATTAGAGAATTGAAGATATCATCATGAAATAAACAAATCTGAGAGAGGTCCACATGTAGTACCTAGATATGTAATATCAAAGCAATTGGACTTTCGGTTTTTAACAAGAAGTCGAAAATATCACTTTTTACCAAAAATGACAAAAATATTCATGAAAATTAGAGAATTGAAGATATCATCATGAAATAAACAAATCTGAGAGAGGTCCACATTTAGTACCTAGATATGTAATATCAAAGCAATTGGACTTTCGGTTTTTAACAAGAAGTCAAAAATATCACTTTTTACCAAAAATGACAAAAATATTCACCAAAATTAGAGAATTGAAGATATCATCACAAAATGGACAAATCTGAGAGAAGTCCACATGTAGTACCTATATATGTAATATCAAAGCAACTAAGAGAGGTCTACCCAAGGTACATATACACCAAGTATCAAAGCATTCAGGCTAGTAGTTTTCAAGAAGTCGAAAAAGTAAAACATTGACACGGACGATGACAGACGACGATGGACGACGACGACGACGGACAATCACTCATATGATAAGCTCCGCTCGACAAAGTCGACAGCGGAGCTAAAAAGTGAGAAGATTTGATGAGTGTCTGCTGAGTAGTATTCATTTGATTGATACTGGATTGATGTCAGAATTAAGATATACACTAATTTGCATATCAATAGATGAATAAAGGAGTTGCTGCATTATTTTTTTTAAATGGTCATGAAATCTTCTGTGACTAATGTGTTGACGCCTTTGTAAGCAACTAAACATGTTCTAAAAGCTACGGTAATGTTAGTTTATTCACATGAATTTGATTTATTCTAACACTTATTGCATGTCATTACTACTAAAACACAATTTAAATACAGAAATAAGGTTCATGAGTAAACATTGCACATAGCCTGGAATCATGGACAGTATAGTAGGAATCCAGCCATTCAGAGTGCCCTTCAGAGAGCACTCAAGAGGTCACAGGATTCAGTGTCATCATTGATTGGCTGGCTCCATGACTTCAGTACATTACTATGGGAACTCACATGTGCAGACTGACCCATATGCACTCAGTATGTGTCATTTAATTTTGATATGCTGTGTACAATTGTAGGAATATGTTGTTTGAGTATAAATAAAAATCACAGCGAAAAGTAGATATGGTACTACTACAGTCACTTACGTTGTGCATGTATGTACAAGTTTCTGCCACTCACCGCGAAAGCCGATCATCGCGAAGCATGTACCGGTATGTGAAATAACATTTGCACTTCACAGGTTTTCAAGTGTACATGTACAGAGTGTTATTTTTGTAACATTGACTTGAATTTTCATTTAGAGGGACATTTCTGCTATCAAATATCATTGATGTTCTGAGACATTATTAGAACAAACAACCAGTCTGTATTCAAGACTCTATCAAAAATCCATCGATGCAAATGACCTATTTCAATATTAATTAAGAATGTATACTGGTTCAACTGGTCCAGTCTCCGGAATATTAGTAAGCCAGGTTTGAACTAAATAAAGCATTTCAGAACTACCATATTGAATACTAGTTCTCTAAAAAGAATATCATTATACACAAATGTAGTAGAACACATTTTAAGCTAAACAAATGTTATTTAAATCAGAAATAATTCCGAACTGAATGACAGTTGAAAACTGTAGTTTAACTTTATTTTGATTCAACATGCAATTGCACGATCTCATTGTTTTATTTTTATTTGGGCAAGACAAATTGTGATGTGTGTTGAAACTGAAAATGCATGGTTAAAGGAAATGCTTAGTACACATTAATAATTCAACATACACATTAAATACAGCAATATTAGCTGCCAAAATAATGTTAATTTACAATATATCATTCCCTTTTGTTTCTCTCAAATAGAATATCAAACATGCTCAAAGTAATCTATGTATTAGAGTGCTGGAAAATAGTAATTTACATAAACTCATGGTACATGATATATCACATGTTTACTCAATTGATGTTACAATAATTAAAAAATAAGAAAAAAAATGATGAAAAACACAAAAACAGATCACATGTGCCAGTAACATTAGTTACTTACTTGGTGACTTTAACATAAGTAATGACATCTCGATGCATGTAACTTCTTTCATAAGCTTCAGCATTAGGTAAATTCATCAAGTAGACATGTTCAAATTCCAGTACTATGGAGAGAGTGGATGATAAACACAGTGCTGATATAAGATTGCTGGCTAGCACAAACTACCATTCTAACTAACATATTTTCTCTATTACTAGCACAAACTTGTATATAAAAGATTGTGGCATGAAGACCTGCAAGTATTATTTTTTGTCATTTCAGCCACAATACTTGAATACTTATGTCTTACCCATACTATTGTGTCACCTCTACAGATTAGCTCTGTCATTCAAATGATTGCTTCTGATCTCAGACCATAAAAGGGCACTGATATTTTATGAAGTACCTGGAGGCCACCTGACGCTCTCTCTGTTGGTAGAGGGAGCTGGCTTCCAGTAGCATAGATATATAATAAAACTACAGTACAATACAGGATATGGATTGACAATAACACTCTAATTTGTATGTAAGTAAACCTTACAAAATAAATGAAAATGTTGATTCACAGACAGTATACCCAATACAACTTAGGAATACTTGCAGTCACAGTATATGCATAGACTCAGGAGTTTGTAGAGCAAGGAACATTTGCTTGGTTTCATTGTTGTATTGGTTGAATACTCATTATCACATGAAAGGGGGAAAACAATAGCACTGTTTATCAAAACCATTGACTTAATTAGTATAAAATCGTTAACACCATTTCCTTGGTACAATAGTTTTGATTAGTTCCACTTCAAAATGTATTTCTGAGAGTATGCCCAGAATTTAGTTACTGTTTATCTTTTTTTTAATTGTTGTACCAGGAAGGTTTTCTAGTGGCCAGTGGCTCTATCTTATAATGGGAAGACAGGTTAAACATGTATATGGTTCTACTGGAAAAAACATTATGTTTATCTTATTCTCTTTAGTTTAGTTTAGTTTAGTTTAAGGTGGCTTTCCTTATGCGATTGTGGTTTTATTCAGTTGACAAATAAATGCTATTTCCACCCTAGTGGTAAACAACCATGGCTAAGATGAATCTGACATTCAAATATACCCATACAATGCTCATAGAACATAGGACTTCATTTTAAGTTATAACATAATACCTGGCATGTAGGTAAGGGTGCAATATTAACAAAATAGATGAGCTAAATATAACACACACATGTTCACTGTAGAAATATGTGTTGCAAGAAGTTTATTCAAATGGAAACCACAGTATTTAGTTTTCACTAGAACAAGGAGTTGCTCATTAAAAATGTGGAAGAAGGCAACAAAAACTGCACAAGTTATTGTTGCCTTAAGTTTCGAATCAGTTTCTTAAATTGCTACATTTAATGCACTGTTCATGTTAAACTCATCACCAACTAAATCAAATCAACAGGTAGCTTTCTTGAGTGCAATGTGATTGTTTAGGATGTCATAAATTAATTACGTTCGGATCATAACTTGATTTGGTTTCATTATTATATTAATAGGTCATTCACAAGATGCTTCACTCTAGGATGAGGTGGTTGCTCTGGGAGTGTCGGGGAGGGACGTGTTAATGTCGGTAATGTCGTTAATGAATAGGGACAATTAACATGCGTGAAAGGAAACAAAGAAAGTGCAGGTTTAGGTGTGAGGTTGGAACAATGCATAGGGTGGAACGCTCGTTAGCAGTGCACAACGCCTGTGAGACACAATTCAGGACTTTGTGGCGAATGATTGACAGATACAGCATTCCATCTATTTGAGTGACATGCGGCCAGAATCGAATAGTAGAACTAATGGCTATAATTTTGAGCAAACGCCTGAAACTGTGTGTATGCATAAGATATGAAAATGAATGAATACTGAATATTAGTGATAACAACAATGCTGTAGGCAATAATCGTCGAATTTTCACCGCTACTATTAAAATGGCTGTGTTATCGAGAACCGATCCCTACCCTTTCTTTTCTTTGGCTTACTGGCCTCGGTCGGCACTGGTCCAACCCATTCTCCTTCGTCACTGGAATGTGTAACTTCTTCTTCAATTCTGTCAACGGATCGTTTCGTATTTTCCATGGATGTCGCCATCTTGGTGTGACGTCATCACAACATTCTATTTACCATCATCCTCTTCGACACAAATAAGTTACATTCGCGTTGCAGTTTCCTTTTGAATTAAAGTAGCGGAGTGAAGAAGTTTATTGTATGTTTATTCATAAAATAAAAAAAAATCTAGTCAGAATAGTTATGAAGGTAAATTAAACTTCCAAGGATTTAGTGCATGTTATTTTAATGTGCAATAGTTGGCTTAGCCGTTACAGTCGGCGAAGCGTCGGATACGTACAAAGTATAAACCGCGTACAAACTAAGGTAACTTGGTAACGGTAAATACAAATATTCTACATTTCGCGCCATATTGACACCTGACTGCTCTCAGCCAATCAGCGGACGACTTTCCAGTCTTTTCAACTCAAGGGCGTGTAATCCAGAATTCATTTGCATAGTTGAAAAGTGTTAATCACCGGACAGTTAGCGCGTCCCCAAGGGCAGAATAAGCTATATAAGACATCTTGGCGTTATCTGGTCACTTGTAGCGTGGACTCACAACTCCGCACACTCTCTATCATAACCTTGGATCTTACACTGTAGTCTTCCCCAGTACCCTAACTTTGAGTTGACCATGAATTGTCACCTTGCCAAGTAAGTACACTGCTTTATTTACGTATCTGTTTATATTTTCTCGTGTATGAACTTGCAGGTCCATGTTCACAAATATTATTATGTTATCATCAAGGTTGCTTTGCTGCGTCTATATATTTAAATATTCTAAAATTGTGTTTTTCTTTTCTTTTCAGTTTGTTAGCAGCGATTTTACTGCTCGTGATGGTCACTAACGTTTCGTCAGTAAGTCTAGGAGGTGAGTTTGTGTTTATTATTCCCTGTTCTGGTTTCCAGCATGTGAAAACCATTAGTTGACCTTCAAAGAGAAAATCCTTCAGATAAACAAAAGTTTTCGATGGGGATGCACCTGGGTCAACTAAACGTTCTGTTCCTAACAACTTATGCGGTTATCCAAACAGTTCCCGTTGCTGAAAATTGGAAGCTGTGTATGCTTGAGGCATTCTTGTAACGATCTTGTAAAAAAAAATCAAGATCTCTTGCGATGGAATAAATTATTTATTTTCATTTATCGAACTCGTATCTCGGTGCTACCAACTCAGGCGTTTAGTGATAATTTAACATGATTATACTACGGACGAATTAGAGCGTGATCAGGGCTTCCTTACGAGACTTAGAGCGTGACCAGGGCTTCTTTTTGGGACTTATGGTTTCGTCGTAGGGCTTCGGGGAACAATGATGAATGACTTCAAACAATGTTTGTGGGACAGCAATTACTTTCGCATTATTCTGGAACCGAATGAATCGCCCATTATCGAATTTCGAGGGATTAACTTTGTTTACATCCATTCAGCACGTTTCAGTCAGCCTCCAAGGGGGACCTTGTCAATTTGGCCATTATCGCCACATGGCATCTAATGAATGCCAATCTCTTCATTTCATTTGGACATCACATTTCGTTACATTCTCTTCATTGCCATATTTCGACCCGATGGTCAACCAGAGGGTTGAGATTATACTTAGTCTTAACAGCTGAACAAACAGTCAACTTTATTTTTTTCTAAAAATCCAATGAACAAACACATGATCAGTCCTAACAGTCATGTTATTACGTTAATAGTATATAAATTCGTCACACATTGTTTTGCTTGTAATTCAATTTCTGGGTAGCGTCAGCAAGCATTCCATTAGAATAAAACAATAGCGTCAGCAGTAACACTGCGTTCGGGTGCGAAATAGTACCGACTCACACATCTTGGAAATCAAGGGACCTGTAATTACGCCATGCTATTGTTCCTAATTCGTTATTACCATATTCCTTTGTCAGTAATCGCTGCGTGACTTCACTTCATCTAATTAAATATATTCAGATCAACATTCCCTGCCGCGAAGTTGTTTTGTTTACGCGATTACAATTAAGAACAATTAACTTTAAAGAAAGCTGAATTCAAATACAAAATTTAAGTAATACAAATAAAACAATATTATAATCTTATGTCCTGGCGTCAGTACGGCGCGACCAAGATTCACCGGGTAGTTAGTTACTCAGTGCACTTTTAACGAAATTTTCATTTTTTTTTTCAGAATGGACTAACACCCGATCTTCCGCCAACATCTGCCATAACGGAGGGATAATGATCCTTGACAGTTTCTGCATATGTCCCATTGGATATGGTGGTCAATACTGTGAAAGCAAGCCTTGTGGCGCAGTTGCCCACGATGAAAAACTCACCGTACAATGTAATACCTGTCTGTGTCGAGACGGGAAACTCTACTGTGTACCACTGGGATTCCCTGCTTGTGGTAAGTACAATTATCCAATTATCGATAAGGTTATAATATTAAATGCGTACTGGTATATAACATTACACTTGCAGCATATGAACTTATTTTTTTAATTTTTATTTTGCAGAAACTACAGATGAAGTGATTATTGTGATTACGTCAGCCCCGATCACCACCAGCACCTATGCGCCGACGGAGGCCGAAGACGTCATAATGTTTTCTTACGGTGAATTCGAGGCGTTGTCATCTGTTGCAGCAATCACTCCCCGTTTTATACAGTTAGTTCTGCCCGCATTGGTGTTGCTTATGACACTGTGGACATGAGTTGCATATCTGAGAAAAGGGACAGCGAGGTTTATTGGATCCAGGCAATGATAGTTCTGATAAGACGACCGAAATCCCCGACTTCGCGGATTTACAACCATACAAGATGGTAGTTTACCGTCCAACAGCCCGGATAGGGTGATTGAGAAATAACAGTGGACGCACTCCATGTTTCCTCTGGGCCAAGAGGCAATACAGTATACATTCAATGTATCTTCCTAATTCAGGCATTATGCTGTTTAATTGTGATACAAACCGGGAAATGTACTAGGGCCTGTGCTATTATATTATCATCAGAAATTATGTTTATATATGCAGTATTGTGAGTTGTATTGTAAGTTGTATTGTAAGTTATTTGTAAATAAGCTACATATATTTGTAAATTATGCATTTTTATATGAAAAAAATAACAAAAGACAATACAAATATAGAGGAATGAGATTTTAATAAATAATTTAACATAATTATGTAATTTTATATTTTTAAACTGGGTATCACTAAATAAAATCATAAAATCACAGTTGTTTTTGTTATACAGTGAAAATGTGTGTATGAAGTGGGAAAATGTGTTGAAGTTCTCCGGAATATACTGTAACCAAGTTGCCGTTGAGTTTCTCCCAATTTACACAAATGTTGCCAAATCATCCCCTGCGACTAGATACTTGGAAGTCCAGTTTGATTTACATACAGTCTCTTCAAGTTGTTTTATTATTTTTTACCGTCCAACGAGTTAACTTCAATGTTATTTTATTTGATTGAAAAAGTCCCATGAAGAAGAAAAGCTTGTGAACCGCAGATGTTTGTTTATATTTTGACATTTTTTTTATTCAAAATGGTCGCTAAGTGGAAATCCCGAAGTAATTTTTATATTAAAACAAGTTTTTGGTTCCCTCTCTTGTCATTTACTGGCAATATACTATAGTAGTAATTCAGTACGGTCCTCAGTAGCATGTATTGTGGATAAAATATAGAAAACTGAAAGAATGCACAACATTATTATTATTGTTTTTATACTGCTGACTTGTATATGGCATCACAAGGACTACAAACGCAAATTATTATGTATAAATATAACTGAAGACAGCTGGCAAAACTTAAAGGAAAACGAAACAAATCTCTAAAACACGCTTCTGAAAGTGTAACAAAGAAAACTACAACTTTTTAATTCAGCATGCCACATGTGTAGGTGGGTCTCATATTTACTAGTAATCGTTATCATATATTTGATGGAGCCGTTTCTTCAATAAAATATCAAGAATTTTACCTGTTTTACAGTACAATTTCCGCATTTTTACTGAGGAGCCGCTCTCGAAATGCGAGGGAAAATGTTTGGTTATGCTCCCAGATATTCATGTATTGCGTACGTCCGAGCATAGGAAGTCATGACACACAGTCAGGACAAGAAGTCACACGGTATTGTATGGCTAAAATACCCACCCTTTACTGTACTGTATATATTAGTTTTGCTACGTGATTATTGGTACATTTAGGTGGTGACGGGCATGCCTTGCAGTTTATAAATTATACTGCTTTTCGTGGCGAAACACTCATTTATACGTAATTGTTTTACTACTGGACACTTGGACCATTCCACACTTGACATAGATGTGTTTGTGTACGTAGATTGAGCAAGTGGGATGTTTCAAGGGTTGTTTCCAAGTTCCATGATAGGAAAAGCGCGGTTTTGCTTATAAGCATATGTAATGCAATTATAATGTTTTAATAGGGTTGTACCATGGAGTTAAAATGGTTGTACCTAGTCTGACATGAGTGGCGCCTTCGCCGGTAGAACGACATCACATAATGTTTTGGGTTTAGACACGGTTACTAGAAGTGTCTTGGACTTGTCTGAGGTTTGCAGCACCGCGAAGGGCGCAACTCACGTGACCTTGTCAAGCTAGAAGGCCGATGGTTATAATAAGTATTGAATGTATTACTATTAATAAATTCGCTATCACCGTGAATATACAAACTCTAGACTTGTGAACTTGTAGGTCTAAACACAGTCCCTCTATCACTATGATAGAGGGACTGTGGTCTAAATAACACGTTCACCAACCATCGAATACTTAGTAAGCGTGCATAAATCAGCGCGGTTTCGGGATTAGTCAAATTGCGAACTATTAAACATATATAAATAAAAAAAAACTACGATTCAAATTTGCATCCTGTTCAACTGTTCTTGTCAAGCAAAATACATGTATCACAATCGATAAACTGGGACAAAGCACCACTGAGACGAAACGAACTTGGTCGAACAAGCATTAGGACAAAACGGCGCTGGTATGAAACCACAAATCAACTTGGACTAAATGAGAGGGACGACAGACCTTCATTGGTTTGTATGCGGCTACTAAAATGTGGTATACGGCAACCGAGGTGGCTCACAACATGACATTTTATGAAACCATTTTTACAATTCATTTCACATTTTGAAAACGAAAAAGGATTTAAACAATTGGGTTTTAAAATAAAAACACGAAAGTGGGTTTTCAAAATCGATTTCAGAACCGAAATGGTTATTAAAAAGGACTATAAAATAAAGGTGAATTTTCAAAGTGTAAATGAATTGTAAACATTGTTTTCTGGGTTTTTTCACGTATTCTATAACTCAACCAGAATAAAAACGGCGCCAAATCAACCAGCACACAACCACAGAGTGGGACACGTACAATATCAACACATAGCCCCCTTGGTGCTGACTGTACTGTGGCTCCAGAGAAAGACTGTCACAATACAGTCCCCTGTGGTGTTGTCTCACTTGTCTATACGGTGGCCCCAAAGTCCCGCGTGGTGTTGTCTGTACAGTGGCGCCTCGATCAATTACAGTGTTTTTATTTTTCGTAATTAGGGGAATTAAAAACATTCGGACAATTAAATCTGCATACAAGATGTTAATGACATTGGCGCGGTCGCTCTGTGCACGGAACTACAATCCACGTAAATTCTAGTTCATGATTTGTGGTAGACGATAAAACAACCATCTGCTAACTAGAGGGACGGCAAGGGAGGGGGTGGTAGCTGATACAAGTTACAGGAAATAAAAACGGCATTTTACGTTTTTACAGGAAATAAAATGAAAGTTCCATTTACAGTAAAAAAATGGGTTTTTACACTTTACAGATAGAGCAAATTCCTAATTACATTTTTATACTATTTTTGATAATTTGTGTTTAAGAATCAAAATTGGAAATTGCGTACGAATTATATTTAATTTGGAAAATGCTATATACGCTTACAAAAATAATATCTTTGTACAAATTACGGACGAATAAAATAGTTGACTACATACATTAGACACCATGCCCGTGTCTACGAATTTAAATTTTTGTTTATTTAATTAAATTTTATTATTACGAAAAATAATTGATTATAGCTTACTAAAATACCCCTTGCCGACCCTCTGACTAGCTGACATCTGCATAGCTCATACGTCACGTTGATATACGTTTTGTTCATCGCTTCGGAAGCACGTGCATTCCCGGCTTCTGTCACAATACGTCACGGTTACTAAACAAGACTGTGACAATAGTGCAGCGACCGCGACACCACGCAACGGAAGTCACACGTATGTAAGGACAACAGATAATGATACTAGCATATACCTTAGAAAGCAAGGCACATAGGTACTAAGCAAATGAATGTTTATTCAACGTTATGTGTGGTGCACTATTATTACACATAAACTCACGGATGTGGTTGTGACATAGAATTAGTAACAATATTGCTTTCACGATATGCCATTATTTTACCATCAGACAGATCAGACTTTCTCGCCCAAATTTATTTTCTTATATTCTCCAATATTTCTGGAAATGAACCCTAATTTTGGAGCCAATGGGCAAAATTTGAGTCAATTTTGGTAATTGTTGTCCCAATCTTCGGAAGGAAAGAGTGCTGACTATAAACGGAACTATTTTGTGAAATTTTGATGAAAGAGGGACCTGGTGGTGAAAAGGTTAATTGAAGAATTTAGATTTATTTTTAGGGGAAAAGTAAAGCACATGCGTGCGATTTGACCATATATAGGTTATATTTTAGCTACCTATGTTATTATTATACATCTTCGAAGGTCAAATTTTAAACATGTTCGCGATTCAACACACCTCGTACAACAAAAACACCCCTGTAGCTCGCGCCCTCTATCGACATAATTATCTGAATTGTGGACGAGCTTTGGGGCATTCTAAGAGATTGTCTCATTCTCACTTTTTAAAGAAAAAACCTCTCTGACCATTCTAAACAATGAAAATTATTTTTGATTTGTTGATTATGTACCACAACTTTGTTTTATTCAAGTGTATGCCAGTTTCATCACTTGTTTCTAAAGCAACTGATTTGTTATCACCATGACGGTGACGGGGTGGACGTACATCCAAACATAATCACGTCTAGTCTACGCACAACAGGTACAGTGTTTATAGGGCTATCAAAAGCGAAAAAAGGCTAAATGATAAGAAAAACGTCTTTTATAAATCTCTCCGGTGAACCAACCGGCGAATCACTGAGCTGAATCTTTACTTCATCATGCACGACATTCAGAATTCCCAGGAATCTTTCTTTTAATGTTTTCCTACTTGGAATGGTTATTTGTATTCAAATATACGCACGCATTTACAACAGAACAAACAAACAAACAAGCATTGTAGAATGAGAATTAACTGTTTTTAGTTTGTGAGGCGGCTGCTTGTCTGAATGTCATGTTGTTCTTCCATTGTTTGAAGCAGTTATCAATGAATTTACTAGATTCCCCCCCCCCCGACTAGCTTATATTTTGTTAGTGAGGTAATCAGTTTATCATGTCTGACCATTGTGCACACTTAGCATAATAAATAAATCCTGCTATTCATTCTCATATTGTTTGCATCTGATAAGAAAATGCCCTTTGTCTGGTCATCTGTATTGCATCATCCACGGGATAGAGGGACTTTGGGCCTATTGTAATCGAAGAAACAAAACGAAACGTAACAGAATAACACACTGTAACTGTAATCAGTGAAAATGGGTTTTATACGCCCAATAGTTACAAAATATTTGCCGAAAATAACAATATTTAATACGTATATAGCTAATTTCGCTAATTACAAATAATCAAAAATCTGTAATCAGCGAAACAAGGGTCTTACACGTACAATATTGTGCATATAAACTCCATTTTTACTGATTACAGTTTAATTTTCATTTTGTGCTGAAAAGTTTTTTTTGATTTTTTGTATGGAGTTTATTATCACTGATTTTTGATGAGTTGAATGTAAAATGTAGGAAACAAGCCATGCATGGCACAGACCCAGTTACTTATCCAATTTAAGATATATAGTTTTGTTTATCGTAATATAGCTGGAATATAACCATGTCAGGAATATGATTTTTAACATTAAAATGATTGACATTTGTATCTGATCGTCAAACAAGTACATATTGAGAGATATTGCTCTGGAACAGCATTCAAAATCAGCCATTTTGAATACATGTATATATATAACATGATGTATAACGAATATATAAAATTTGAATATAATCAGTCAAAGCATTTAAGAGCTATGGCTCAAGAAGCCCAATCATTAAAACAAAATGGTCGCCAGTCAGCCATTTTGAATCCAATCTGAAAACCCGTAATGTCTAATGTATGTACCAAGTTTGAACAAAATTCATCCATAAATGCCAGAAATGCTTGATATTTAATGATTTGTTAGCACAAAAATGACCACCATTCGGCCATTTTGAATAGGATCATCAAACCAATACATCTGTTTATCTATGACATGTTGTATAATGAATATTTAAAATTTGAATATAATCAGTCAAAACAAGTTAGAGATATGACACGAGAACCACATTCATTAAAACAAAATGGCCGCCAGTCGGCCATTTTGAATCATATCTGAAAAACAAAATTATTAGCATCAAGGTCCCATAATGTCTAATGTATATACAAAGTTTGAACAAAATCCATCTGTATACAGCCGAGAAATGCTTGATTTTGAAGATTTTTAGCACAAAAATGGCCGGCATTTGGCCATTTTGAATCAGATCATAAAACAAAATGATGTGCATCAAGGTCCTATAATGTCTAATGTATATACCAAGTTTGAACAAAATCCATCTGTAAACAGCCGAGAAATGCTTGATTTTGAAGATTTTTAGCACAAAAATGGCCGGCATTTGGCCATCTTGAATCAGATCGTGAAACAAATTGACGTGCATAATGTATGATGTATGAGTGAGTTTGAT